GTTCTTATTAAGAAACAGTGGTGATGAATTCTTTATCCCTCTCTTTTTATCTCTCCAGTTAGTATGCTTCATTACTATAATTTAACTCAGTTATCTCGTTTTCTGTTTTTCTGCTTTATTTTTCATGTTTTATTCTTGAAAGAGACCTTATTACTTCATTAGAAGGTATGATAACTATTGATAGAGAAAGTATATCAGTTTGCTCAAGAATGATCAAAAGTTATTTGGCTGTGGTTGCATGTTGAGTCTTCATCCTGTATGTCGTGTTTTGCCTTGGTAATTCCTAGTATGTGTTACTTCCCCTTTGAGTTCTTTTGTGTTCAACTGTTGTATCTTCTATGCTCAAAACTGGGTGAGTCCCAGAAGGTCACCTGGAGAAAACTATGGTTGCAAAAGATGCTTTTATAACATTGCCACTTTGTTCCTTTACTGTATGTGGGAGGGAGTGTTTGGTGGAGAGTTCTGGATGATCCGCTTCTAGCTTTTCTTGTGTGCAGCGTATGACATCTATTGATGTTAAGATGACTTTTTCATCTACTAGGTGTTCCACGATAATATGGATATTGATAAATTTGTAGATGACAGTTATGGTCAAAATTGCTCATCCTTTTCCTAATTGAATGGTTAGGTGGAAATTAAACTTCCACTCCTGGTAGTAACACAGTTAATACCTTGTGGGGCTTGCTTATCATGGGGGTTAAATGGTACAAATTCTGATTGTTCATTGATGTATACGGCAGAGGAGAATAATGGTTACTTCAACCTTATAATTGCTGTTGTTTCTGTTTTTCTAGTTCTTTCTAAATGATTACTGACTCTTACCATTTGCATCCAAAGCCATTTCTCTGTTGTTTGGGTTCCTAAAGTGAAATATTGGATGAAATAATGAGTGTGTTTGGTTAGTAGACTATTTAGGATGTTTTAAAAAAAAAATAAATAAATACTGTAGTACTTTTTCGATGTGATATATGTGAGATAAAAAGGTGGTTGAAAAATGTGTTGATGGTGCAAGTAAATAAATTTTTATAAATAATTCACTATCCAAATAAACCCAATGTTGTCATGAAAGAACTTACTGGTGCTTTGGAACTTTCATAAAATTACTTTAATGCCTGTGATTTGCATACGATGTGTGAGGAGAATGGATTCACTTCCTTTTCATCGAACTTCTGTTGCAGGACTGAGCTTTTGCATGTAGTCATCCTCAGCTTTTTATTCTCTATCTCCTTTTTCTGTTTAACCTGTTTTTTTCCTCGTCTCTTATTTCTGGAGGGTAGATTTTGATAGTCTTGATATTTACCAGAGGAAGTTTATGAAAATGCATAATAATCAGATCCAACTAAACCTGATAACCTTGTAGTAAACAACGATGGATGCTGATGATAATAGGAAAGAAATGCCGGGAACACAGCTGATTATCTGCACTTCTGGTAATTGGTGTGGAACAGAATGCTCATGTTTTATTAACTCCTTTGCAGGCTGATTCAGATAAAGATGGACGGCTGACATTGACAGAAATGATTGACAGCCCATATGTATTCTATAGCGCCATATTCAGTGATGATGAAGATGAAGACTTTGAATATCACGACGAGTTCCGTTGATTGATAACTAGGTAAGGTGAATATCTCTTATCTGTGGTTGAATAAGCAATTGGAGCAATTCTGTTTCTTCCTATGACCTTCGATATTTGGTGACAGGTTTTCAGTTTGGTACAGATGAAACATCTAGAACTTCTCTTGATCAAAGCTCCTACTATAGAATTATAATCACCAATGGTGGAGACATTGGCAAACGTCATGTGAATGATGTCCAAAATTACATGCTTTGGTGCGTTTTCTTATTTGCATCAGAATGCCTTCTTGATATTTGAGAACCTCAAGGATCACAAGCTCAAATTTTCTTGCATTATTTCGGTTTATGGATTTTTGGTAGTTTTAGTTGAGTTATTGGCTAGGGACAATTTACCAGGCTAAGGATTTGTTGTTTAGTTGTCCACAATTATTTTACCTTGTCAATCTGCACCCATTGTTTTAATTTATTTGATGCTTTAGGAAGTTGAGAATATATTGTATTACAGATATAATGCTGAAGTAAAGATAATATGATGTTGATTTACTTCACAAGACATCCTAGCATTTGTAAAATGTGATTTCATAAATGGCATTTTTTTCTTTGTGTGTGTGTGCTTGTTGCATTTAATAGTGCTGTTGTTACTCCCCATTGCTATAGGGTGTGATTTATGCAGGGACGGCAGTTGGGGCAGGTACCCGTGGCTGGTTGATGGGGCGGGGCGGGGGTTTATTTTCTCCCCTGGTTGAAAAATGGGTAGGGGACGGGGGAGTATACCCCTACCCCATCATCCACCTAAAAATAAATAAATAAATATTATAATTATATATATAATATTGGTAGTTATAATAATTATATTATTAGTTATACTAATAATTATACATTTATACTAATACAAATTACTGATTAGTTATGCTAATAGATTTATGAATTGTTTTTTTCTCAGGAATTGCACCATTTCCCCTTCTTATAATTCTTTTTCTGTTAAATGTCCAATTGTCTCTTGCTTTTTCTTCTTGTCACTTCCTTCCCTCTGTATCGTCTATAAAAGTTGAAGCTGTGTAGATGCTGTGTTTTTGGCATTTGCACGTATATGAATTTTATATTGCAACCAGTTTAATCAAACATAAAATGCCAGAGCTATGCGATCATGTGTATTGCTGTTTTGCTGAAATTCAGTTCCTTTAGGGAATTGTGTATTGCTGTTTTGCATGCTAATGTATAGACTTCATGTAAAATTAGTGTTGTAAAATTAGACTTCATGTATAGGCAAATTTCTATTAGCCTGCGGGGAAGCGGGGTGGAGTGTGGGGAGCGGGTGACAGGGGTGGGACGGGAGTGGGGGGAATGTTTGGGCAACGAGGCGGTTCCTCCACTCCACCCCCGCCCCATTGCCATTCCTAGATTTACTTGCAATCTGTATCCTTACAAAGCACTTTAATCTGTAATAAAACTAGAATATGGATAAAGCACTTGGTTCATTTAAATTGTTAAGTGCTCTCTTTTATGCGAAGCCAGTTGAGTTTGAAAATTAAACTTGGTTTTAGCTGATATTTTCTCAACTCGGTCAATTCGTTCAAGAATCAAGTGAAACTGGGGAAGGTGATAGAGGTTTTGGTTTTATGGATGTTTGTGGTCTCCTGGACAAAACTTGATAATCAGCATATATTACAGAGGAATATTCTTAAAAGCAAAAAGCTATAAAATACAATTACGACTAGACGAATTAAGTGGTAAAAATAAAGAGCAAGATGCTTCACTTTATTATCGCTTCTCATTTGCCCTCTCTTTCACAGATAAAGTTAATCCTATGGTCCGTATTAATTGCTTTGGAATCTGGCGTTGATGTTTCGCGTAGTATAGCAATGCTATTCTTAAAAATAGATTTTTTTAAAATTTGATATGAAATCATGGTCTATCACAATATTTCTCTTTCTCTCTCTCTCTCTCTCACTTCTTTTTTTTTCCCACAAAATACGGAGTCCAAATGGCAGCCGAGAAAATAGAAATGAATTCAGAGTGCTCCTAGTTAAAGATAAACTAACCTGTACAAAGCAGTGTAGGGACATTATCTCCCTTCATACTAGCGGCATGAAAATTGTTTGGTAAAATAAAGTTTGGTTGAACTGCAGGGAAAGGTAAGTTGCATTACCTTTTCGGAATGGAGACTTGTTCTTTTCTATTGTGATTTGCAACTTTATTGTTTTTTCAGTCTTAAAATGTTCTTTTTGTTTTATGATGTCGTGTTAATAGGTATGAAAGAGTTTTCTACTCTATTACCAGTGTTCTGTAATCATGAATCTGTAAAGTAGGATACTGTATTTAATGTGTAAATTTTAAAACTCTGTTGGGTTCTAAAATCATCTCCTTCCAAAATTTTTACAATTTCTCTACATTGCTTTAAATTTATAATTTTACCTCAAAAAAGGAAATCAAGTTCAAATAATGAGATTGTGGGGAAGTGTTAGGTTGGATGGTAAGATGGGAAGGATTGTAAGCATGGTTCAAAGCCACGGTCACTTGCGGTTGTGGTCGTGAGTCAGACTGTTCCATATTGGTTTCGGCATATCGGTCGCAGCCTCGACGAGGTGCAAATTTTTGAAATATTTAATATTTTAAAAATTGTAAAAAAATGATAAACAAAGATAATAAAAAATTAGTAAAAACAATAAAAATCGAGTTAACTCGTGATGACTCAAGGCGAATTGACTGTTTCTATCCGTTTCGGAGGCATCTTGATCAAGTTCTTGGTGAGTTGGTCGAGTTTTAGGCGATTCATTATTTCGGAGTCATCTCGTTTCGGTATCGGATCGGAAGCTCCGTTTTGGTGATGACTTGGCCAAGTCTTTGAATCATGATTGTAAGTAGAAAATTTTGGATTCAAAACTTTCAACTTACCCAAAAAAAAAAATGTTTAAATACTGAGATTGTAAAGTCCCAATTCTTGTCATTTACAGGTATTTTCAGATTCTACAAAGAGCACAACCCGTTGCAAGAGCGATGCATTAGTTGATTTCATAGTACAGGGACGTACCTTGAAGAGGAATTTCTGTAATAATACAAGACTAGTATACTTTTAAAACCGTATGAACAAAATGAAGATCTATCCCAGTAGGAAAATTATGATGTTGCAAATGGTCATTCCAAAATAAAACCAAAGAGAAAAGAAAAGGCTGACCCAAAAACTATGTAAATATATAAATGATACTCCCCCTGTCTCACTTATTTTGTCATGTTTGGAAATTTAATTTTTTATCACTTATTTTGTCATGTTTGGAAATTTAATTTTTTAAAAATAATAGTTTGATTGTGATATTTGTGCTTTCCTTTCCAATCTTATTCAAATTCAAAATTTGAATTTAAATGGTGACGTGCATATGATTAAAAGAAGTGACTATATAGGGGGGAGAAACTAATAAGTGCTTTAATTTTCTCAACATGAAAAATATTTTGAGACATTTCAAGATGAACAATATAACATTTCTAACAGGATGGAAGAAGTACAAGGAAATTTTGAAGTCACTCAATCATGCTTTCCACTTTTATAGGTGTTTAAGAATCTTCTGCTGGTTCACAAGAAAAGCAATAATCTGGATGTAGATATTAGGAGCTTTACGTATGGGATCAGCTCCACAAAGTAAATACTTCACCAGGACAAGAATGCGCACTTGATTGTATCCATCCTCAGCACTATACAAAATTCCAGTCGTACTCATCAACTCTCCAAATATGGGATTTAGAATCTGTTGGAAGCAAATAAAACACAGGATGTCTGGTTTGCCTCCCATGAGTAACAAATTTGCCAAACAATATTTTACAGACATTTGAAGAAACCATGGTGATAAATCAGAACTCTCTTATACAAGATTGTCTTCCATCCTTCAAACTCTAGGATTCCATTTCCTTCACCTCTAACAGACGCCCACTTTCTTCTTTCCGGAGAGGCATCTGAAATTATATTGGCATGTTAGTCCGGCTAGTGAAAGACCAAGTTGTGGCCTAAAGCATACAAATTCGGTAAAACAAAGAGTTTTCAGCATACTGGATTCCCCAAGAAAGTAGACCACCTCTGATGTTTATAGCATCTATGTTTTTCTGAAGTTTAACTAATTTAGGGCTCATTATTGGAGCATCTGCTTTTCCAGTTTCCTGGATTAGAATAGTACCAAAGCAATTTCCATCAAGAACATAGAGCATAAATAGGTTAATAGCACCATGTTTTCTGCAACTAAAATTGCTAGCTACATATGCAGCAGTGGAAGGAACAACCATGACCTCATCATACCTCCATGCCAACTCCCCTCATGAATGACTATTCTTACATATCATTATTACTTCTAATGCCACCCTTGCTTTCAAGGATTCATTCTTTGCTAAAACTTTTCTGTTTCAATCTACCTATTTGGTTTTAATAGAAGGCTTCTGGTGATACTTCATTTTGTTGGACTGACCAGCAAGGACAATTAAAAAAAAGAAAGAAAAGAAAAGAAAAGCTAGCAAGATCAACAATTCCAAAGACTCGCTCCCTTTGATTATCTTGGTGTAGCTAAACCAATTGGACATTCCTAGAAGTGCACTTTCATGAGGACAAGATGAAAAGAAAGCAAATATATATCTACCAAAATAGTGCATTTTGACGTAATCAGAACCAGTCTAGAATCAACAAGCTTTGAGAATCGTTACAAAAGTCTCTAGCAAGTGAGGTGCCAATAAATTAGTAGCTGAAAGAATACACTTTGTCTCCTGGTAAACAAATACTGTATAATTTAACTTAAATTAACTCACCTCTGAACATAATGCTGCAAAGCTCCACCAAAAATTCTGGTGATGATCAGAAATCCCATTCTGAACGATTGATTAGAACCTTCAAATCATCATTTCCCATCATGTGTTGTTCCTCCTCTATTCTTCTGACAGACTCTTCAGCAGATTGTCTGCACAATTGCACCTCAATGATCTCCAGTGTAGGGACATCTCCTAAACCAGAGGGGACTTCCTCAAGCTGCCTGCAATTTCGCAAAACTAAGTGTTGAAGATTGGGAAAGTCATCACTGGTGGCATTCCACTGGGCCAGGTTCAGAGTGTCGAGCTTTAGGAAATTGAGTTTAGGGAACTGCCCTTCTTTCATGTCCCACACTTTCCCCTCAAAGGCCCTAGAAAGCAATTTGAGAACCTCCAGGTTCGGTAATCTACCAACTTCCAAAATGCAGTCCCATGGCAGGCGAAATTTTGATAGAGTCAACTTCTTCAGTTTCAATGGGAAGTCAAACTTAAAAGGATGAGCAATTCTACCAGAACAGAGAATTTTGAGCGACTCTAGTTCTGTGAGACAGTTCAGTACTGGAAATTGATTTGAGTTCCCAACATCAACCCTTGATTCTGAAAACAGACATCTAAGTCTCCGAAGTTTGAGAAACCTTCGCATGATATTCTCTGTATGTTTACCAAAAGAGAGAGATGGGGTGGAAAGACTGTCCAGATTTCCTAACTGCGTGGCCTTTTCTGTTTCATTGTCTTGCATGTTGAAGACAGCATTACTATATACATGCAAATGTCTCAACTTTTCCATGCTCCAAATAGTATGTGGCAGTAGGACTTTACCTTTTAGTCCTTTCACAATCAAGGTTTGGGTGAATTCTTAGTTTGTGATGAAAAAAAAAAAGAATTCTACAACGAGGGCGTTTCCTGGGGGAGTTTCTGTAAATGGGGGGTCTTCGCATTTTGAGAATGCGAGCTCAGTGAGCTCGCATTTTCACAATGCGAGCTCAGTGAGCTCCCACTACCCAGCGCCAAGACCCCATTTCAATTTCAGTATGTCAAATGTTGTGTAACCGGTGATTTTTATCTAAAAATATCTACATTCGCATCAATTGTAAAAGGTAAAACACGCAAGATTTAATCGTTAGATATTTGATTTCTTTTCCTTTTCAACTACCAAACAAATAACATGCACCTCATAAAAATAACTTATATAATTTTTAATTAGCATTGCGTTATGGAATTTCTAAAATTACAATAAAAAAATTGTAACAGATATTAATGACTATTAATTATTAGATTCTTATAACTAATATTCATCGTTGTCAACAAATAAATACGATTCATTAATAACAAAGGAAAATTAGAATTTGATAAATAAATTTATTTCACAAAAAAGGATCAAAAGTTAGTATTTTATTCATAAAATATAGTCAACACCTTACATGTTAATAATTTCATTCTATTTTTACATTGATCTAATTTATTTCCACCAAAATGTATTATAATAAAATAACGTATTTCATAAATTTTTTTTAAGGAATGCAAACGCGCATGTGACATCTTAAAACATTTTGTTTTAGTACAAAAATATAAATCTCTGCCTCCAAAAAAAAAAGAAAAAAAATTTGCATCTCTGTAATGCGAGCTCTGTTGAGCTCGCATTTCAGGAATGCGAGCTCTGTTGAGAGCTCGCATTCGTGAAATGCGAACTCTCCTGAGCTCGCATTTCACGAATGCGAAGACCCCCCGACAGAATTCCTCGCCACAATCACCCCTTTTGTAGAATTTTTTTAAAATCCATCACAAACTTAGAAATTTCTCATCAAGGTTTCCAGATTCCAGAGGTTGGCTATTGAAGCTGGAATATAGTCTATATCACCACAAAGGGCCAAGTACCTCAAATGAGCCAATAACTCTATTCCACTGAAGAAAGAATTACCCACATTGATGCATTCCAAATCCAGCACTCTGAGAAGTTTGAAGTTCTCGAAAATGAAGGAGATGTTGTAGGGACATCTTGGATACAAATCACTGCTGGCAGAGTATAGTAGAGAGCGGACACGTCCACCAGGCCTTGACATGATGAAATGATTTCTCTTAGAACAAATGGATAACCTCCGTTTTGCATATGTTGTGCAATTTGTAGGATGATAATCTGGATCAACACCATAATCTGAATCATCATAAGAAGCATCAAAAGGGAAATTATATCCAGTTACTAAATGCAGAAAATTTTCTTCCTGACATCTCAGCAAGCATAAAGTACGCAGCAGGTCATGAACACAACATGTTTTAACTCCACCATTGGATCTGCTTTTCGAAGCTATTACTAGGCTTCTGCCAATGAGGTCCTTCAAATATTCTTCTGCAAGATCTTCCACACGTTTTGACGCCGTACTTCGTACAAATCCTTCAGCAACCCATAACCATGTCAACTTTCGGACTGGAATTTCTTTGTTCTCAAGAAATGCTCCAAGATAGAGAAAGCACGGCTTCAAATAGTCAGGCAAATGCTTGTAGCTTAGCTCTAGGATCTCCATGCACCTTGTTTGCGGATCACTAGCAATGCGTGAGCATAAACTTTCTGATACTTTTTTCCATGAATCTAGAGTCATTTCAGTTCTTTCAAGGATACCAGATACCGCAACAATTGCAAGAGGTAGTGCCATCCAACTGTCACCAGTTCAACTTGACAATCTTTTGTCTTGAATAACTTCTTCTGCAACAATTCCCAGCTTTCATCATGGGAGAGTAGACGAAGACGATGAGGAATTCTATATGCTTTAATTTCCAAAGCCACATCAGGGAGACGACTTGTGATTAATATTCTGCTTCCATTTTCATCATTTGGGAACGTTCTTTCTAAATCATGCCATGGTTCAGTGCTCCAGATGTCATCCATAACTATGAGATACCTTTTTCTCTTGAGACATTGATATAACTCTAAGTCTAGATGATCATCACTCATTTCAAGGATACTATCAGTAATATCCATAATGCCACCCAGCATTTCGAGCAATAAATCTCTTTTGCAGTATACTTGAGACACAGAACACCATGCACGAATATGGAAGTGAAAGATAACTAAAGGATCATTGTATACCTTCCTGGCCAGAGTCGTCTTACCTAGCCCAGGCATACCAACAATCGAGACAACATCTTGCTGTCGTGATCCTCTTGTAAGCCTATCAATCATAATTTTGTTTTGATCAGCAAGATCAATGACCTCTTCATCAATTTTGGGAATTCTTGCTGGCGATGTCACCTTTCTCAATGCCTCGGGACCATTAGAGATATTGATACCGCAAGTCTTCATAGAGATCTCTGAAGCCTTAATCTTAAGAAGTCTGATATCTTCTAGGAGATCAGTAACCCATAGCGCATGATACCATAAAACACCTCCTCTAACCACAAATGAATCAACAAGGTATTCCACCTCATATGCCACTTGTATAATGTGTGAAACAAGACATTTTATATCCAAGTGCTCAGTCCACTTTTCTCCAATGTTGCAGAGTATCGACCTCAAGAATCCCATCTCTCCATGAGCAATTTGAATTGGATATTTCAGAGAACCAATCGATTTAGCTTTGGAGTTCAGCAGCTCCATCAAATTTCCTATAAGAAAATCCATAAAGCCAACTCCCTCAGTCTTGGGGAAACTAGATTTAAATGAGCTTCGTGCTCGTAGATTGATAGGGTATCATTTGTTAATAATTTTATTATTAATTTTCCCTTTTATCCCTGCCAAATATTGTATTAATTGTTGATATCTACTTATATTTGGTACCATGACTTAATTTCAGAAATGAAGCAGAAAACTACCAAAAAGGAGGGACTTTATGGAGAATATGGAGACTTCTAAAGGCTTCAATCCTTGGGCCTTTGAATTGGTGGGGGACCACAAAGCTAGTGAAAGATATTTAGTCATTTGGGCTCTTCAAAGAAAGCAACGTAGAGAGACTTGGAAGAAGAAGTAATTTGGAGGCTTTGTCCACATGTGTGGGGACCACCTAGATAACTTTTAGTCATCTTTCTTTTGGTGCTTTAAAAAGGGACAACGTACAGAAGCAAAGGACGACCTTTTAGTTTTAGCTTTTAGTTTAGTTCTAGTTTTCTTTCTCTTGACTGGCCTCTAACACACGCCAGGTGTTCAACAATATTCCCCAATGGGAAAAACATCTTTCATCCTTTGCTTTCTAGTAAAAAATCGCAATGTTTATGCAATCCATTAATTCGTGTGGTGATTTAATTATGCGGCGTGGCTAAACCTTCTATCTAGTCAAGGGTCAACTCGACGGCGCAGTCCCGAAAATCTGTGAGATCTACTTAGTTTTCACGCGTTCCTTAATTTATTAATATTTGCACGTTGCCTGCTTGAATTTTCTTGGGATTATTTTATTAATTGGATGTCAAGGGTCCGATGTTCAATGTGATTTATTAATCTCGTGCCAATTTGGTCAATTAAATCCGTAATTGTTTGATTGATTAATATTAGTGGCAACTGGTGTGTTTACACATCAGGGGAACGTGCAATCTAATTTAAATAACCCTCGTAGCGTGTTATTGATTAGGGTTAGGTTTTTCTAGTTATTAATGCAATTGAAAAATTAATTCCTACGGTCGTACCTAGGAGTATTTTCTGGTTAGGGGTAATCAATGGTCGTACCTTAGTTATCAATAATTTAAGGAAAAATTGGTCGTTAGAGTTTATCAGCGACTATAACTAGCCTATTGAGAAATTAAGAGAACCTCCCTTGCATCGATGATCGGATAAATGGACTGTGTCTGAGTAGTTGTATCCTTGGCTAGAATTTATTTATTTTTGATTTAACTCCTGCTATATTTGTGCTAGTTAATTATTCATTTTTAGTTAAATTGTTTAATTGTTTTTAATTCCATTCCGGTGAAATCCCCCTTATCAATTGGAATTTAAAAGAAGTAAATATTCCCAGTCCCTGAGGAGATGACCCTACTTGCCACTGTCTACTTTTCAGTAATTTTTGTCACCTAATTAATTCTGGTATATCGGATTAAGCAAATTCTTCGGGAACAGGGTGAATCAAGTAACCCATTGCACACCTAGAGTCCCTGCTCCAGTACCTAGGATTAATTACTAACCGCTCTTAGTGGTATTTAGGATTTTATTATTATTATTATTATTGCACAGGCTCGACATCCTGTCAATTTTTGGCGCCGTTGCCGGGGACTGGCGTCAATTATTTGTTTCTTTTCAATTTCAATTTTGTTCTAATTTTCTGGTATTTTTTCTAGTTTATGCCTCGTTCTTCTCACACAGAAGAATTAATTTTCGATCTTGAAGTAGAGAAGATCGCGCGTAGAACGAGAAAAGAAACCAGACAACTCAGAGAGGAGCAATCCAGTGTGACATCTCAAAGACTAGATCCAGAGGCTGAGTTGACAGATTTACGTGGCGATAATTCGAGTGATTCGTACCAAGAGAACGTCGTCATGGCAAACACACAAACATTAAGGGAGTTGGCTGCTCCAAACTTGACCCAACAACCTCTTTGCATAACTTTTCCTCGCCTTAGTGAGAATGCAGCTTTTGAATTAAAACCTGATCTAATACATTTGTTGCCTACTTTTCATGATCTGCCAGGAGAGGAACCCCATAAACACATACAGGAATTTGATGTGGTGTGTTCGAGTATGAAGCCTTCGGGAGTAACTGATGAACAAATTAAATTAAGGGTCTTCCCTTTCTCTCTCAAGGATTCGGCAAAGGACGGGTTATACTGTCTACCTGCAGGCATTATCACCACGTGGCCAGAGATGAAGAAAAATTTTTTTGAAAAATATTTCCCTGCATCCAGAGCTGCTAGTTTGTGAAAGGAAATATGTGGCATCAAGCAATTTCACGGGAAATCCTTATATGAATATTGGGAGAGGTTCACCAGGCTGCGTACCCGATGCCCTCATCACCAAATAAGTGATCAACTGCTGATTCAGTACTTCTACGAGGGGCTACTGATGAACGATAGAAATATCATTGATGCATCAAGTGGTGGTGCACTGGTGAATAAGACTACCCAAGAGGCATGGGAACTAATCGAGCGAATGGCAGAGAACTGCCAGCAGTTTGGTACGAGAAAGGATGTTCCTATGAGAAATGTCAACGAGGTAAGTTCATCTTCCATTCAACAGCAGTTATCTGAATTAACCTCATTTGTTCGATAGATAGCTGTAGGAAATGTACAGTAGGCCAAAGTGTGTGGGATTTGTACGAATATTGGTCATACCACTGACTCGTGCCCGCAGTTACAAGAGGAGGGAACTGAGCAAGCAAACATGGCTGGTAACATGCCCATGCCACGTAGACAGTATGACCCCTATTCTAACTCATACAATTCGGGTTCGAGGGATCATCCAAATCTGAGTTATGGGGGAAATAAGCAACAAAATTTCATCCCTAATAGACAGCAAGGCTTCCAGCAACAATATCAAACAAGGAATCAACCCTCCTCTGCCTCAGGTATGTCCCTAGAAGACATGGTTAAAACCATAGCCTCTAATACTATGAAATTTCAGCAGGACACTGAGGCCAGCAGTCAAGAGATGAAGGTGCGTATGCAAAACTTGAAAAATCAGATGATTCAATTGGCCTCAATTGTCAACCGACTGGACTCCCAGGGAAAGGGAAAACTTCCATCCCAACCTGAGGTGAATCCCAAGAATGTAAGTGCAATGACCCTCAGGAGTGGGAAAGAGGTTGAAGGACCAGCACCAGTGGCTCCGAAGGACAAGAATGAGGACCGCATTGAGAAGGAGCTTGAGGAAGAAGGAACGCCTGGCACAAATAAAGAGGTAATACGTAACCCAGTGATTCCAGTTAAGCCTAACCCACCACCTTTTCCTAGCAGGTTGGAAAGGCCTAAAAAGCAAGACAAGGAAAAGGAAATTCTGGATATGTTTAGGAAGGTGGAGATAAATATCCCCTTACTTGACGCAATTAAGCAAGTACCCCGGTATGCCAAATTTTTGAAGGACCTATGCATCAATAGGAAGAAATTGAGGGGAGATGAAAGGATAATTGTAGGAGAGAACGTATCCGCAGTGCTTCAAAGAAAACTTCGGCCCAAGTGTGGAGACCCACGTATGTTCACTATCCCTTGTAAAATAGGGAACACTAGCATTAGGAATGCCATGTTAGATCTAGGAGCCTCTATAAATGTGATACCCAAGGTTATTTATGCTTCTCTAAATTTGGATCCCTTAAAGGAAACTGGCATTATAATTCAATTGGCTGATAGGACTAATGTTTATCCCGATGGGGTGATAGAAGATGTGTTAGTGCAAGTGAACAATTTAGTGTTCTCGGCTGATTTTTATATTCTTGATATGGGTGATGAACACTCTCCAAATCTATCACCAATTTTGTTGGGGAGGCCCTTCTTGAGTACGGCTCGTACAAAAATTGATGTTAGTGAGGGCACCCTAACGATGGAATTTGATGGACAAATAGTTCATTTCAATATATTTGAGGCTATGAAATATCCGTGTCATTCTAATGCTATTTTTGCTGTGAGTGTAATTGACCCTTTTGTGTAAGAAGTATTTGAGATTAATGGCAGGGATGAATTGGAGATAGCAATCACCAAACATTTGGATCTGGAAGCAACCTGTGAAATGGCGTTAGGCGTCAATTTGCAAAGAATGGTTGGAGCCTTGCATTCACTAGGCCAAAGTTCTCTAAGGTATGATGTCGCTCCTATATTCGTGCCTGAACCACACCTAAAGCTATTACCTTCTATCGTGCAGGCACCTGAAGTGGAGTTGACACCCCTGCTCGAGCATTTAAAGTATGCCTATCTAGGTGAAAAAGAGACGTTACCAATGATAATCTCATCCAAATTATCACCAAGGGAGAAGGATAAGCTGCTACGGGTTTTAAGGGAGCATAAGGAAGCCATAGGTTGGACAATTGCGGACATAAAGGGTATAAGCCCGTCCATATGCATGCATCGAATTCGCCTGGAAGAGGATGCTAGGCCGATAAGACAACCACAAAGGAAATTGAACCCCATCATGATGGAAGTGGTCAAGAAAGAGGTAATCAAGCTTCTGGACGTAGGAATTATTTTTTCTATCTCAGATAGCCCATGGGTGAGTCCGGTCCAAGTAGTGCCAACGAAAGCAGGGGTAACTGCGGAAGAAAATCATGAAGGGGACATCGTTCCAATTCGAAAGCCTACGGGTTGGCGCCAGTGCATCGATTACCGCAAATTGAACGCGGTGACCAAGAAGGATCATTTTCCTCTTCCATTCATCGATCAAATGGTTGAAAGGTTAGCTTGTTGTGCCTATTATTGTTTTTTAGATGGTTTCTCTGGTTATTTTCAGATAGCCATTGCACCAGAGGATCAAGAGAAAACAACTTTCACTTGCCCCTTTGGCACTTTTGCTTATTGAAGGATGCCATTTGGATTGTGCAATGCCCCTGCAACATTCCATAGGTGTATGATTAGCATTTTTTCTGAGTATGTGGAGAGAATAATTGAGGTATTCATGGATGATTTCAGTGTCTATGGTGATAGTTTTGACGATTGCTTAGATAACCTGACATTGATTTTAAAAAGATGCATTGAGACTAACCTAGTGCTCAATTGGGAAAAATGTCACTTCATGGTTGAGCACGAGATAGTTCTAGGACATGTAGTGTCGTCTAGAGGAATTGAGGTTGATAAAGCTAAAATAGATGTGATATCTGCTTTACCTTACCCCGTAACTGTACGGGAAGTTCGTTCTTTTCTAGAACATGCAGGTTTCTATCGCAGATTTATCAAGAATTTCTCAAAGATCGGGGCACCACTTTTCAGGCTTTTGCAAAAGGATGTCAGTTTTGAATTCAACGAGGAGTGCAAAGAAGCGTTCGAGAAGTTGAAAAAATCACTCACTTCTCCACCTGTCATCCAACCCCCTGATTGGAATCTCCCATTTGAAATTATGTGTGATGCCAGCGACCACTCCGTAGGAGCAGTTTTAGGACAAAGGGTGGAGAAAGCGGCGCACGCAATATATTACGCCTCTAGAGCTTTAAATGGCGCCCAACTCAATTAGTCCACTACGGAGAAAGAACTCTTAGCTGTTGTTTTTGCTTTAGAAAAGTTTAGACCTTATTTGCTAGGTGCTAAAGTAATTGTGTATTCTGACCATGCAGCTTTGAGGTATCTGGTGACCAAGAAGGACGCTAAACCCCGTTTGATAAGATGGATATTGCTCCTGCAGGAATTTGACTTGGAAATCAGAGATAAAAAAGGAGCAAAGAATCTGGTAGCTGACCACCTCAGTCGAATATTGGTAGCAGAGAAGGAATTACCATTAAGGGAGTCTTTTCCTGAAGAGCATTTACTTTCTATTAATTCATCCCCTCCTTGGTTTGCAGATATTGTGAATTATTTGGTTACTGACAAATTGCCCGCAGGTTGGCCCAAGGCGAAAAGGGACAAACTAAAAAGCGATGCAAAGTACTATGTCTGGGATGATCCCTATCTTTGGAAACAAGGTGCTGACCAAATAATGAGGCGATGTGTAAGTGAAAGTGAATTCCAATCTATATTGACTTTCTATCACTCTTTTGCATGTGGGAGTCATTTTGGACCTAAACGGACTGCGAGGAAAGTGTTGGAAAGTGGATTTTATTGGCCTACCTTATTTAAGGATGCCTACTTGTTTTGTAAGACATGTGATAAATGTCAGAGGGTAGGCAATTTATCCCGAAAGGATCAACTGCCACAAGTGCCCATACTTTTCATTGAAATTTTTGATACTTGGGGTATAGATTTCATGGGTCCCTTTCCTAATTCTAGTGGATTTTTATACATTTTACTAGCAGTGGATTATGTCTCGAAGTGGGTGGAAGCAAAAGCCACCCGCACTAATGAGTCTAAGGTGGTAGCAGGTTTCATAAAGTCTAACATTTTCGTGCGATTGGGAATGCTACGGGCAGTTGTGAGTGATAGGGGGACGCATTTTTGCAACAAGACAATTGTTGCTTTATTCAGGAAATATGGTGTATTTCATAAGGTTTTCACTTCCTACTATCCACAGACCAACGACCAGGCTGAAGTCTCGAATAGGGAAATAAAGTCCATTTTGGAAAAGATGGTCCGCTCTGATAGGAAGGACTGGAGTTCAAGGTTGGAAGATGCTTTGTGGACATATAGGACCGCTTACAAGACACCTATAGGGATGTCTCCCTATAGGTTGGTATTTGGTAAGCCTTGCCATCTTCCAGTGGAGTTCGAGCATAAAGCATTTTGGGCGATTAAGCAATGCAATATGGATATTGAGGAGGGCGGAATTCAAAGGAAGTTACAGTTACAGGAGTTGGAGGAGATTCGAAATGAAGCCTATGAGAATGCGGCAATTTATAAGGAGAAAAATAAGATTTTTCATTACCAACAAATCTCTAGGAAGACATTCGTTTGTGGGCAAAAAGTTCTACTATATCACTCCAAATTGAAGTTATTTCCAGGTAAACTACGTTCTCGTTGGATCGGTCCCTTCATTGTAACTAATGTCTTTGATTATGGTGCAGTGGAGATCCAGAGTCTAAGGACGGAGAAGAAATTTGTGGTGAATGGTCATCGTCTCAAGCCATATTATGATGGGGCTCCAGTTGAACGGGTAGAGGCGATGCATTTAGAGAACCCGATTTGCTTGGTTTAAGCAAATTATGGGCTATGTCTAGCCAAAGACATTAAAGAAAGGCGCTTTTTTGGGAGGCAACCCGAATATTGGTTTTATTGTTTTTAGTTGTTCATTTCTTTTATTTTGTCGTTTCCTCGTTGGGTAGTAGAAATATTAATACTTTTCTTCATTGTGACTAGGAAGTGCAATCCTGGTACGCGGTGTTTGTGCATCCTGAGGAGGTGCAATCCTGGCGTGCCCACGCGGTGTTTGTGTTTCCTGAGGTCAGTGGATGTTTTGTAATCTTGGCATGCCCACGCGGTGTTTGACGATCCAAAACATGAATTCAAATAAAAAATATATATATATTTTATTATTATTACTACTTTCATTAAAAGAAAAAGAAAAGATTATTTTTTTCTTCCTAAATTCAAAAAAATTCGAAAAAAAATTTAAAATTTTTTTTTTGTTTTTACAACAGCAATTTCAAATTTTGGAGAATTTCGGTTAGAATAATTTTTGAGAAAAAAAAACCATTTTATTTTATTTTATTTTCTTTCTTTTTTCTCTTCTTCGTTCTTTCCTTCTTTTCTTCTTTCTTTCTTTCTTTCTTTTCTTTCTTCCTCCTTCCCCGCTGCTTTCTCTTTTCCCATTTTCTTTTCTTCTTCACCCATTCACCCAACATCCCCAACTGTCCGCCGCCATCTCTCTCTCTCCGCGCGCCTCCGCCACCAGATCTCTATCCCTCCCACGCAGCTCCATCGAGCCTCCAGGCCACCATCGCACGGTGCCACAGCCCACGACCGACGCCCGCTGACAGCCCGTGAGCGTAGCTAGCAGTCAAGCGCCGGGGCTCTTTCTGCCTCACGCACAGCTCCTCCTGAGCTTGCGCGCTACCACCAGCCCTTCAAGTCCACGCAGCTCGCAACCCCAGCCTGCGCCGCCCATAGCTCCTCGCGCGCGACTGCCTACAGCCGTACACCGCCATATCTCCTCTCTCCACCGTCACACGCGAGCTCTTCCTGCTCCACCTCGCGCGCGCGTCACAGGCTCGCCCAAGCGCCACCTGCAGCCGCTGGCCTGTCAACCTCCATTGGCACCACCAGCTCCATTGCCGCACGTCGCCACCTGTCCACTTTCGACAGGTGGAGGTATTGTAATTTCTTCCCCAATTAGTTTGAGACTCTGAAATTTGTGGGTGGTTTCTTGATGGTTAAAGGAAGGTGATATTTTGGGCATTTTCTAGGGCCAATTTTGGATAAAGTTGGGTTTAATTGCTGCCATAGTGGGGATATTTTCTGCTATTTATTGAATTGTTGGCCGTTTAATTAATTTTTCCCTGTGACTCACTAGTGGTACTGGTTGAGATCTTGTGCCTATCGTGTTGCGGCTATTTGAGAATACTTGCTTATTTTAAAGTTTAAGTTCTTGTGGTTGAGTTGCTGCCGTTGAATTTAATACTTTCTTGTCTGTGCACCAGTGGTACTGGTTGCAGTGTTGCTTTCCATTTCTTAATCCTCTGTGCTGGACTGCCTATTTGATTCTTGAGTTTTGGTGCCTATTGCTTGGCCCAAGTGCTGATTTTGAGCGTTTGACTTGGGTATTTGACTGTCCAATCGGTGGCATTTGTGGAGTTTCATGTGTTCCAATTGGTTGATTTCATTGCTCTGTTGGGTTCCCTGTTGGTATCACTTGAGTTCTACTTTGTTAATTTCTGTATCGTGCCCCTTGATCCTATTTTGACTGAATTAGAGACCCAGTGCCTATTCATTCAATTTGCTGTGTTGTTAGGGTCCTTTTTCTAGCCTTTGGGGTGCCTCAGTTGTGCATTTTTATTAATTGGGTTGGCCGTATGGTTCCCTTCTTGCCTGTGCATGCACCAGTGGTATTGGTTGTGCTAGTTTTCTTCCAATTTCTTATTTCGATATGATTGAGCATCTGTGACTGAATATCCTTCGCTCTTGCTGTTTTGTTGGGTTCGTTTTTGGTATCAATTGAGTATCATTTGGGTACTTTCTGCCTGCAGTCTATTGAGCTGCCTTTGGTTGGGATTTATTGCATTTAATTGGTGCATTGGACGGCTCCTGGGCCATCTCCGTTGCTTATTGCAATAATTGCCTCTATTTGCCTTGTTTGGGGGCTATTGTGCCTTTTGCTCTGCTTATTCTGATTGTGTAATTCTAGTAAGATTGTTAGGCTGTTTTATTTTGCTTTTACCTTAATTGGGGCCACCAGTGGTTATTGCTTGAACTTGCTGTCTTGTTGAGGTTATTTTTATAGCTTGCGGGTGCTTGAATTGTACTTTCTATTGATTGAGCCAACTACTAGCCACCATGGTAAAATCTCGGTCTTCCTCTTCTAGGTCTAGGACCCCTAGGACCCCTCAGCCCCCTCCACCCCAGCACTCCATTCCCGCCTCTGACCCCTCGCACGACCCTTCCTCCTCTGGGAGGAGGGCTCGTCTTGGGAGACAAAGAGGCGTCCATATTTCTGACTCTGCACATTTTGGGGGTCATCTGGACTTTACCCGGGCAGCCGACAAGCAGCGATATGCTACGGCTTGTGAACGGCGGATTATCCCATGCCGTTATCGGGACGCCGCCACCTTGGGCCTCCTAAATATTCGAGTTGGATTTGACGATTTGATTGAGGTTATCGGGTGGCTCCCCTATTCTCGTATTACTGATCTCCCGGCCTTTGTTGAGTTGGTTAGGGAGTTCTATGCCACATTTGAGTTCGACTTCCCCACGGGTTACACAGTTTCTACCCCTAATGTCATCCGCTTTCGTTTAATGGGTCAAGAGTTCCACCATTCCATAACCGACTTCAACTTGGCCCTTGGATTTATTGATCCTGCCTATGCTGAGTCTCGGGAGTATGCCGAGAGTGCATGTGACTATGTTCAGCCGTTTTTCTCCCGCTATCCCTATATTTGGGATGATATGTCCGTAGACAGGGATAACTATGACCCTCGTTTATCTAAGGGCTTTTATCTGAAGGACCCAGCGTCTCGCTATATCCACCGCTTTTTGGCTTATAGTTTCTCGGGTAGGCGAGATAGCTCGGGCATTTTGTCTAAGCCAGAGTTTTTCTTTATATGGTGCATGCATAATAACATTAAAGTTAATTTGGGGTGCTGGCTCGCTTCTCAATTTAAGTCTGTTTTGCCCAAAAAGAAACACCCCTTGATTCTTGGGTCGTATATTACCCATTTGGCTGTTAACTTGCACTTGCTTGATCTCTCTAACCATGATTTGCATGTCGCCTGTCATATGGAGCCTTTGGACATCCCGTGCTTAGAGCGAATGGGGTTGGTAAGGGAAGGTGACAGCGGGTGGGAGGTTGTTCCCCCGGGACCGATTCATGCCCCCCCGCGATCCTCTTTTGCACGACCTTCCACTACCGGCGGTGACCCCGGTCCATCTACTTCCGTTCCACCTCCTCCTAACCCAACGCCTGAGGAGTGGCTTCAACTTCGGAACACGGTTGAGCGGCTGGAAACTCGGTTGCAGCACATTGATGTCAACGTGCATAAAATGGCACAGAATCTGGCGGCATTTATGCAGCAAGCCGGGTTTCAACCTCAGTTTGCGCCTAACCCTCCCATGTTTTGACGACTACAGGGAAGTACCGTTGCCCTTTTCTTTACTTTTGTTATTAATTTACCACATTGGGGGCAATGTGTGACTTAGGTGTGGGGGGGGATCAGTTTGGGTGCTAGATATTTCTAGTTTTCGTTTCTTTTTGGTTGTTTTCCTTTTGTTTCCTGTTTAGGTGTTGTCCTTTATCCCTTTTGGGTGATTTTCCATTGCTTTTATCTTGGTGAATATGTTGGCAGCTCACTCATTTATTGTTAGTTGTGGTTTATACTATGAATTGAGTTTCGGTGGCAAGTAAGAGCATGCTGTCTTGGTGAATATTTTGAGTTTAACAACTTGGTACAATTTATGGCTAACTTGTTTAGGCAATGTAAATATTTTGCTGGCATTGTTGTGTGGATTGGTCTCCTGTTGACCTTAGTTCTCCATATTTAAGACATGACGCAGGCTATGATCTTTAATTACTTGGTATTTTGGTGTTTATTGGTGAATAACGTATGGTTATACTCCGCTAGTGTCGCCACCCAGTAACCGGGAGTCTTCACCCAGTAACCGGGAGTCTTCACCACACGTGTCGGCTCTCGCGTCAAAAAGTAGCGATATCTATGAGTAAGTGGTCCTGGAGCTGTGAAAAGTTGAATAACTGGACTCTTTCATCTAAAAATGTCAAAGTTCACGTCAAAAGACTTGAATAGCTTGGGACTAAGCTTTATTCGTGCATGCAAAAAAAAAAAAAGAAAAAAAAATCAGATGCGGAAAATATGAGTTTATGATCATGTTGGCCTGCCGATCCTTGGTTTGCAATGTTGAGATTTTGGTCACCAGTTGACTTAATTGCTGACTGTTGCTAGTTAATATTTGGATTTCTTAGGTGAGTTTGCCATGAATGGGACGGGTCTATGAACTTAGGAGCTAACCGGGAGGGATATGACTTGACACTTAGCCACTGAATCTTGATTTTGGTATAAGCACAACTGGCAATGATAATGTTAAAGCTGGCCATTGTTGGGTTGAATTGTCCCTATGCTGGAGGGCAAGCATGATTCAGGTGTGGGGGGAATTTATAGGGTATCATTTGTTAATAATTTTATTATTAATTTCCCCTTTTATCCTTACCAAATATTGTGTTAATTGTTGATATCTACTTATATTTGGTACCATGTCTTAATTTCAGGAATGAAGTAGAAAACTACCAAAAAGGAGGGACTTTATGAAGAATATGGAGACTTCTAAAGGTTTCAATCCTTGGGCCTTTGAATTGGTGGGGGCCCACAAAGCTAGTGAAAGATATTTAGTCATTTGGGCTCTTCAAAGAAAGCAACGTAGAGAGACTTGGAAGAAGAAGTAATTTGGAGGCTTTCTCCACATGTGTGGGGACCACCTAGATAGCTTTTAGTCATCTTTCTTTTGGTGCTTTAAAAGGGGACAACGTACAGAAGCAAAGGACGACCTTTTAGTTTTAGCTTTTAGTTTAGTTCTAGTTTTCTTTCACTTGACTGGCCTCTGACACATGCCAGGTATTCGACAATATTCCCCAACGGGAAAAACATCTTTGATCCTTTGCTTTCTAGTAAAAAACCGCAATGTTTATGCAATCCATTAATTCGTGTGGTGATTTAATTATGCGGCGTGGCTAAACTTCCATCTAGTCAAGGGTCAACTCGACGGCGCAGTCCCGAAAATCTATGAGATCTACTTAGTTTTCACGCGTTCCTTAATTTATTAATATTTGCACGTTGCCTGCTTGAATTTTCTTGGGATTATTTTATTAATTGGATGTCAAGGGCCCGATGTTCAATGTGATTTATTAATCTCGTGCCAATTTGGTCAATTAAATCCGTAATTGTTTGATTGATTAATATTAGTGGCAACTGGTGTGTTTACACATCAGGGGAACGTGCAATCTAATTTAAATAACCCTCGTAGCGTGTTATTGATTAGGGCTAGGTTTTTCTAGTTATTAATGCAATTGGAAAATTAATTCCTACGGTCGTACCTAGGAGTATTTTCTGGTTAGGGGTAATCAATGGTCGTACCTTAGTTATCAATAATTTAAGGAAAAATTGGTCGTTAGAGTTTATCAGCGACTATAACTAGCCTATTGAGAAATTAAGAGAACCTCCCTTGCATCGATGATCGGATAAATGGACTGTGTCTGAGTAGTTGTATCCTTGGCTAGAATTTATTTATTCTTGATTTAACTCCTGCTATATTTGTGCTAGTTAATTATTCATTTTTAGTTAAATTGTTTAATTGTTTTTAATTCCATTCCGGTGAAATCCCCCTTATCAATTGGAATTTAAAAGAGATAAATATTCCCAGTCCCTGAGGAGACGATCTTACTTGCCACTATCTACTTTTCAGTAATTTTTGTCACCTAATTAATTTTGGTATATCGGATTAAGCAAACTCTTCGGAAACAGGGTGAATCAAGTAACTCATTGCACACCTAGAGTCCCTGCTCCAGTATCTAGAATTAATTATTGACCGCTCTTAGTGGTATTTAGGATTTTATTATTATTATTATTATTGCACAGGCTCGACGTCTTGTCATAGATAAATCTTTTTTATCCCTGCATTGACAGGCTCAATCTTTTCTACCAACTCTGGAAGCAAAAGAACAAGATTCGTTGCCATGTCTTCTGTGACTTTATTGGCATCAACTGAGCAAAAAACTGATATTACGTCCCTTACCACTAATTCAACATGTGCCAAGATCAATTTACCATCCTCCTCCAGTGGACCCATAAGAAAAGTTCTGAGGACTGTCAGCCCCTTGTAAAGGGTTTGTGTTTGATTGTACACATCGACCATCATATTTGGACGACTGTTTAGAAGCTCGTGCAAAAGTATCTCCATCTTGAAAAGTTTAATCCTCTCAAGCGACTTGAGAAGCTCAAAGGTGGGCTTGTCTTTGGTTACTGACTTGCGCAGAAATTCGAGATATACATTACCAGCATCCCTAGCTAGAGATCCAATATTTGTCCATATGGGCTGAGGAATTTTCGTGCCATCATCTCCTAGAAAAATCTGCAAAAAATTCAGTCCATCATGGAAAGAATTAATTCGTTTCTTCACTAAAGACTCCTCCATTATTCCGGGCTGTAGCAACTCGATGAGGAACAGCTCTGCATTGAGAAGCTCCATCTTTTCGAGCAACCTAAAAAGTAGAGGATAAGCATCCTTAGCGAGATCTGCTACTGTTTCCTTTGCATGAAATAAGTAACTGAAAGATCCAAGCTCGCTAACCATTTCTATAATATCCATTGAAAGCAGCTTTACATCATTGTCTTTATAAAAAGATGGTGGCTGGATGACCAACATTATTAGGTATTCGAGCCCTTTTTGAAGAGTCAGAAGCTGATTCTTCTGAGGAATGAGAAATCGGACAAACTCTCTACAATTGTATTTGTGATCCTCCAGTAACTTGAAGCATATCCTTGTAACTTGAGAAGCATTAGGCTTTAGCTTTTTCAGTAGGTCAACAAGCTTAGGAATCATCTCATTTTTCAAGTTTTCATCCAAGCCATCAATCCAGCACACATAAGAAATATATGCTGTTTGGACAAGTATTGCTCCAAAATGAGCCAAGCGGTGTCTATATTCTTGTTGGTTAGCATTCCACTGCTCTATCGCCATAAAGACCCTTAGGTTTCTTATCATCTTGGCCATGACTTGGATGTGCGGCTTGATATGCACATGAAATGTGTCCTCTCTAGACAGATCTACCAGATTATCCAGTAGAGAGCCAGAGAATTCATTCCAGAGAACATAATTACTCAGGGGAGAGTAAGAAACCAAAGGAGACTGGCATTGAGATGAACAGAGCTCGTGCTTGGATGAAACATGATCATAAGCTGCTTTAATCAGTGGCCCGAAAAGCTTGAACTTTTGTTGCCACTTAGAAATTACAGGATACAAGTACTCGACACTTCTTTGAATTTCATTCGCAGGAGGAGATCTAAAATCTGTACTTGCCTCCATGAATGCAGCTTCAAGATCCTGGACTAGAGACTGCAGCAACAGACCAACATCTTTATGAAGATCATTCCAACTTCCAACGTATATCAGAAACGTTTTCAACAATCTTAATTCTACTTTGAGAATATGAATTTGTTTGTGTGCTTCTTTTTCATCTTCATCTTGACTTTCTGACAAGTTCCACCAGTCACCCAGTTCCATCAGGAGAAAATTCACAGCATTAGTTGGAGTGCGATCAGCTTTCTTAACAAGCTTAGTTGGAAATTCCATCAGCAGATCCTGCAAGAATAACCAGAAAAATAAATTAAATCTAGTTTGGGTGAAGGGATTTGGAAAAATAAAAAGGAAGAATCTATAATACTTCAACCAAAAAAAAAAAGCTATCATACTTGAACAAATATTCAGTCATATTACCACCTAATGCAAAAGCTAAAATTGGTCCAAATACGTAAGAAGTGGATAGTTTCAACATTGAACTTTATAGTTGATGAAAACTAGATACATCAGTAGATTGGTACATACTTTTCCCAGAAAACTAGCAATGGATCTTGATTTTAGCAAGATTTAAAGCTTCTTCTTCTTTCTTCCCGGTTCACTCTAATCAGCTATCTCCAAGGGGCTAAATAAAGAAATTGATTATTGTGACGAAATTTCTCTTGTACATTTTTTGTCAACCAATTATCATTTCGGTTTAATTTTGGGTGGTTGAGGCCGTTGCAGGCCCCTCCTTCGGTCCTAATCTCTGTGTGCCATCTTCTTTCGGTCATATTTGCCGTCTGTCTTTTTTGGAGTTATCTAAATTTCTTCTTCTGTATTATAAGCATCCGGAGCTAAAAACTTGTAAAAGGTGTAATTGGTGCAGCCCCAGCCCCTCCCCTAATGCGAGCTCAACAGTATATTGCATTTATGCACGATGAAATTCAGTAATAGTTGTAGAAATTAATAAATGAATAATACTCCTACCCATTCCTACCTAATCCATTAGGTATAATTTGTTCTGATGTGTGTGATTGATTATAAAGTTAATAGGCGTGACAACTTTAAGTTAATTTGCATTCTACTTGGTGTAAATATTAATCATATTACCTCAATTTTTTTGTAAAAAAAAAAATGAAGAGGGTAGAAATACTTTATTTCTCTGAGGGGCTAAATTACCTTTACAGTCTAGGTTTCAGCATATGCGAGGGGTATTCGCAAAAGAGGCAAATGTGACATGGAACTGACAATTTTATTCAAAATAAATGTTTAAACCAAGTAGAAGGGTTAATAATCGCAACGAATCTTCTATTATACAAGTAGGTGTTACGCTCCTCAAGTTGGTGTAATTCTTGCACTATTTAATGCATCTTTCTTATGGGTATAAATTAATATTTGGTGTAACTTATACACCAAATTATTGGTTTACACCAACTCAGTGAAATGATACACAAAATATTACAAGATTTACACTAATCAAACAGTGTAATGGGGATGTAACGCATAAATGGGTAACAAAAGATTCAAAACCGTTAATCACTCATTAGCAATTTGTTCAAAAGCACAAACCCATCTATCGCACAGATATCATTGCTAAGCATAATATTTACTAGCCGTGGCCCGTATATCTCACAGATATCATTGCTAAGCATAATATTTACAAGCCGTAGCGGAGGCAAAACCTAGAGTTTAGTGCTTGCAATCACTTTCACAAATGCATTTCAATAAAGAATGCAAACAAAATAATGTCATTGAAGTTTACATATATATATATATATATATATATATATATATATTATTTTATTTAGGGGCTTTCTAACCTTTTGATCAGATTATTCCCCTAAGAATGTGTAGAACATTGCCCCAATAATACACAGTGTGGTAGCACACGGGTATCGATCATGGGATCTATTGGTAACTACAAGGTTGCGGAACCAGTCGGACTACTTGCAGAGCCATTGAAGTTTAATTGAAACATATTCATATTATCTCTATTTCGGTGGTGGCGTTTTAAATTTTCAATAGGATAAAAGCAAATGGATAATTTTTTTTTTATATATAAATTTTGTTGGGCAACAATATAAGAGGTAATGGAATTTTGAAGAATTGCAGGGGGTGACAATGCAAGACAAATTAACAACATTACAAATTTTTATTTGCCCCATGTCTAACTTTTTTAAAGTACAAGGGGACAATTCCCCACATCCTTTTCAAGTCCTTGGAACTCTAAGCCAAGATTGTGTAATTTCAGGGCAGATGCTCATACTAAATATGCCTTATAAAGGTCTTTTGATGGGAAATGTAGCACTTATCTACACATCATTTGCATTCAAATTTCTTATTGTCCAGTTCTGACTAAAATCTTATTAGATTTGAATTTTTTTTAGGCAAACATTACTTATTGTCCAGTTGTGAATTTCTTTTGACGAGAAATTTGTGCTGAAATCATAGTCGGTTAAATATTTCTCCTTAATCCTTTGACTGACAAAACAGACGTTCAAATGGCAGTTTAAAGAAAATTAAAGATGAATTTCGAGTGCACCTAATCAAAGATAAATTAATCTGTACCAAAGCAATATGGCAACACTATCCCTTTTCGTCCTTCGTTTTCCTTGTTATACTAGCATCTTGAAAATTCTTTATTTGAGAGCAGAAATGAAAGATGTGTAGCCAAAGGTCAGTTGCTTTGCCTCTATAAAATTTGAGAACTTTTCTTTATTACTCCATTGCTTGTAATTTTATTGATTTGCAGCTTTAAATTTTTCTGCTTGTTCTACGTTCGATTTATTCATTGTCATTAAAAGGAAGGGCAATTAATTCGTAAAATCTGAAATTCCTTTGGATTCTAAAATCCATCAACTATGGAAAATGTTCCATTAGAACTCCGATCATCTTTCAACGCTTTTTCAATTTCTTCTATATCACTTGATAATGTATGGCTAAATTTTGTCTCGTAGAAATTAATAAGATTTCGAATCCTTGGATTTCCTTTTTGAATCCCTGGATTCTAATTTAAGCTCTACAGCATTAGTTCAGATTTATCCTAATGAAATTGTGTTTTTTGATTAAAGAAAAAGAAAATAAATAAGAAGTGATGTATTATTTATTCTACATGGTACAAGGAGGTAATGTAAAACAGGAATTTCTCTAATAAAGGAAGACGAGAATACTCTCAAACCATATTATCAGAACAAAAGCTACCATAGTAGGACAAATTTCATACTGCAGAGTTTTTATGCTAATCACTTCTTAGACTAGAATGGGTATTGTTAATTAATCTGTCGAGTCCAAAATTTCTTTGAAGTCTGCCATTAGAGTAGTGATATAAATCAAATCATGTTGGATCAATTTCCAGCAATTTGTTAATGAAATTTGCTTTTAAAAAAAACTTATATCCTAAGAAAAATTCACAAATTTAATAATAGATCTTCAATCCCCACATTTTAGGAAGAAAATGAACAACCAAAAAAGGCAGTATACAGAATAAAAAGGGCAAAAAAAAAAAAAGAAAAAAAAGAAAGAGCAAACCAGTTTCCATGATGCTTCGACTCTTGTAAGTTTCGAATGCTTAAGAGTAACTTCTACGGCTGGTTCACAAGAATTTACATTTTCTAGTGTGTTGCTGCATGATGTAGACAATATTCATGAACGATTTTGTCTTGTGAAAAATTTACTGCATTATTGAACTACAAAGTTAAGTCTCGGTGATACAAGTAAACAGTGGTGGAGCCAATACTCTAGGGTCAAGGGTTACAAATTTTTGACACCACATCAAAAGGCACTTATGTTAAACATTATTTTTTTCATTATGTCAATTATATTTTGACATCTAAGTTGTGCTATAATGTAGTGGTAATTTAGAAACGTCAAAAGAGTTTGTTCTAGGATTTCCATCATTAATTAGCTTTAATTAGACCCAACACTATTGTGAAGTGTAAGAATTAAGATTTTTTTTAATTTACTATGGGAGGCCAATGCAAATAAAAAGGAGACATTAAAAAATTTTAAAGGGGTCAATATAGATAAGAAAGAGAATTTCAAAAATATTGAGTGGTAAAGTTGATAAGAATGGGAATTTGAAATATTTCAGGGGTGCAAATAAAGGAGTAACTTAAGAATTTTCAAAAGTGCTATATCTAAAACAGAATTTTCTCAAAGTTGAGGGTGGCGGAGGGGGCAATTGCCCACCCTCATAATCATTTGGCTCCGCCATGAAGTAAGGTTAGAAAGATATTCATCCTTTGTGACAGAAATGGAGAGCAACTGGTTGCCACGTATTTATCTAATGACATTTTCTTTGTAATCTCAACCAAAAGTAGGAACTTAAGAACTCTGGGGAGACGTAAAAGAGGCAGAACTTCTGAAGCTGATAAAAAGCACTCAAACAAGTTGGGCAAAGAAAAAGATATCTCTCCATAAGCTTCTCTGAGGACCAAAGTTATGCAGGCATCCGATTATCACTAAGGACAAGTATAGTAAATGAAGTAAGCCATCTGACATCTCTGATACAATTACTGAGAAAAATAAAAAAAAAAATAAAGGACTAGACTTTATTTCTTTGTAAAGCTGATACTCAACTCATAACATAAAACTGCTTTGTTTATAGAGTTCAAAACAACTGCACTAACTATCCCACTAATTCCACTAACTCCACTAATTCCACTAACTAGGTAGAACAAAACAAACATGGCCAACTAAAAACAAATGAATATTTCTAACAATCCCTCTCTTAAACTACAAGTTTTCCAAATATTTAGTTTAATAGGACTTATCAACTACACAGATTCCAAACAGCTTCCTTAGTTTCTGAATCGTGGATAACTTCAATGGTTTGATCATTATGTCAGCAATCTGATCTTCATTTTTACAATGGAAAAAATCAATTATTTCATCCCTTGTGAATTCCCTTAGAAAGTGAAACCTCACATCTATGTGCTTAGTTCTTCCATGTAGAACTGGATTTTTAGAGAGTTTAATGACAGAACTATTGGTACAGTAAATTGTAGTAGCTTTTTCTTGTTGAAAATGCAATTCTTCAAGAATATTCCGTAGTCAAATTGCTTGATAAGCACGGGTCGTTGCAGTTACGAATGCTGCTTCAATTGTTGATAAAGTAACAACTATTTGTTTTTTTGAATACCGTGAAATAGCTGTTGAACGCATCATGAATATATAGTCAGACGTACTCTTTCTATCATCAAAATCGCTTGCTTCATCATTGTTAGTAAAACCAAACAGATCTGATTTTTCACCATCTTGTAAAACAACCCATATTCAATGGTTCCTTACAAGTATCGAAAAATTCTCTTGGCAACTAGAAGATGTGTCTCCTTTGGACTTTCCATGTATCTACTAATAAAGACTTACTACATGCATAATATCAGACCTTGTGACTATCAAATATATGTGACTTTCCACAAATTCCTTGTAAAGGATGCTATCAACCATCTTTCTTTCAGGTTTTTTGATGAGTTTTAAACCCACTTCAATTGGTATACTAACAGAATTACAATTCTTCATTTGAAATTTGTTCAGAATTTCTTGCACATATTTTCTTTGAGAGACAAAATTCAATAGTACATTGCACCACTTTAATGCCCAAAAAATAATGCATCTTTTCAAGATCAAACATATTAAATTCAGTCATCATAGATTTTTAAATTTCTCAAACATGGAACTATCATTT